CAAGCGGAAATAATTAAGTTATCAAATAAAAAATCAATTCTCGATTCTTCCATCTACTCCCTTAATCCAAGGCTTGATGAGGAGGGAATTCTTCGGTTGAAAGGTCGCATTCAATTTGCAGACTGTCACGAGAATTTAAAACATCCTATTCTATTACCCTCAAAATGCAAGTTTACCGAGTTGATCATCATGGACTCGCATGAAAGGGTATTCCATGCTGGAGTTAATTCGACACTAACTCAGATCAGAGACAAATATTGGATCATTAAGGGAAGACAGCGTGTTAAGACTATCATCAGCAAATGTGTGATATGCAAACGATATAGTGCTCGTCCTGGGGTACAGGATATCGCTCCACTTCCTCCAGACAGAATCCAAGAGGCGCCTCCATTTGCTGTGACCGGGTTGGACTTCGCCGGTCCATTTTTTACGAAAGACAGGCAAGGTAAAGTTTACATGCTGTTGTTGAACGTGTGCGGTCACTCGTGCCTTACATATAGAGATAGTAACTGATCTCAGCACTGAAAGTTTTTTGCTAGCTTTCCGAAGATTTTTAGCTCGCCGAGGACTGTGTACCACCGTGTACTCCGATAATGCCAAGACTTTTAAAAGAGCTGATAAAAGAACTAAAACATATTTTCAAAACTTTGAGTGACTCATCTGTGAAAGAATTACTTTCTGCTAGAGGCATAAATTAGAAATTTATTATTGAGAGGGGTCCATGGTGGGGAGGGTTTTGGGAGCGTATGGTACGAACCATAAAATCCAGCTTGCGAAAAATTATTGGTCGATCATCCCTTACTGTGAAAGAGCTTGAAAAAATGCTCATTGAAATCGAGGCAATGATTAATTGTAGACCAATTACCTACATGTTTACCGATCCCAATGAACCTTCTCCACTAACCACCCTCTCATTTTCTGGTTGGTAGACGATTGCTATCTCTGCCTGCTAATAAAATAACATCAAATAATTTGATTGGATCAAGAAATTCAATTATTAAACAATATAAATACCATCAAGATATTTTAAATCATTTTTGGAAGCGTTAGAGAACAGAGTATCTTTTTAATCTGAGATCTGCCAATATTTGTCCTCCACACTCTAACGCATCTCAGTTTAAAATCAACGATATTGTCTTTGATTCATGACGACAAACATCCCAGAAATCTTTGGACAATAGGTAAAATTTTGGAATTAATGCCAGGCAGAGATGGTAAAATAAGATCTTGCATATTAAAACACCTACTGGTACCTTAAAAAGGCCTATACAATTGTTATATAATATGGAACTTAACTAATGTTTGTATTTTGTATTTTAGGTTTGATTCTCCTGACCTTGCTGATAGGTATCATTTAATGTTTTGTAAAATTTTATGTGCTTATAATTATGTATGCATGTTTGTTATATTTAACCATTTCTCCAGGATTTATTGTCGAAATATTAATTGAATATTCTAGAATATATTATTGAAAGATGAACTCTACACCAAGTTCAGGTGGGGAGTGTTGTGTAATTTGAAGAAAAAGGCTAGAGGGCGCTGTTGCTCGCTTAGTTGAAGAGAATAAAGTTTGTTCATGTTGCAGGCGGCGGCCTAAGAATACGCTCTGTATATAGTAATTAAAATATTGTTTAAAATGTAAAAGTGTTAAAATTAGTAAACTCACTGAACCACCATCATCTGATTTGGAGATGCACAAAATTATTAGACTAGCTTATGTTTGATCACTCAAATTTCAGTTTCCATTGGTAAAAAGCTGGAGCAAAACACAATGCACTATTTTTAAAAATTAAATTCATTTAGCTGTCTTTCTTGCAGCTAAATTTTTGCTACCTACTCAAAGCTCTACCATCTATCAGTTGAAAACCACCTGCTGGGGGAAAAAAGGGGCCAAAGAAGAAAAACTGCTACCAACTATCATGACACCTGACATGCCATATGCTATATAAACCAATTTAGTCAAAAATTCCTTCGGATGTCATAACCAGTCCTGAAAAATATAGGTTAAAGGAATTTTGTTAGAAAGGAGATGAATTTATACTCACTTTTGTTGCCTTTTAGCTTTAGGAAGGCTTTTCTTCATAGCACAATACACTAAACCAAATAACTAAGTAACATCCAAATATCTTACGTGTGTAGTAGATGGACACACACATTCGTTATTGCATTTATTGGCCATGAGAAGAACAAGTGATAGTTGATACAAGTGATAACAAGTTGATAAAATTTTTGCGAGCTCAGGCCATTTACACATTTGTTAGCACAAGTATGCTTTAGCTGCAATAAATTTACATAGTGCTCCTGAATAAATGAGCCCTGGCTACCTGAATCAATTAACGTCTGCATTTTTGTAAATTGCCATTAATATCTTTAACATAAACAACTGCAGTAGGCAATAAGACTTCTTGCGTGACAGGCACCGTGTTGTTATTGCTGCTAATAGTAGAAGTTCTGTGTTCCGTGGGTGTATAACATTTTTCATCATTTGAATTTTTTTAACATAACACTGTATTATGTGGCTCTGAACAATATTTACACATGCCTGCATGACATTTGAGAATAGGATGCGTTTTACTATCTTTCAAACAATGAGCACATAATTTATTCCTTTTAATAATATCCCATTTTTCTTTGATCGGGAGTTCTAAAAAGCTATCACATTTAAATAATTGAGAATGAGAATTACTCTTACAATAAGTGCACAAATTAGCCACAAGTTAGGATGAAAAAGCATATCTACTACCTGAACTGCGAGTTTTAGTTTCAGAAGGCAAATCTACCCTCTCCCTCTGGCACTTTGCCAAAGAAGCAATAGCATTTGATCTGTTTAAAACAAAGAGTCTGAATTCAGTGAAAGCAGAAATTGTTTTTTTTTGTATGCTCTAATGTCCATTCTCTTAGTGCTTCATGATCAAGTTTTCCTTTTAATAGAAAAATAATCATAGTATAATGTGTGTTTAAGGATTTTTAATGTATCAATACACTGTTGTGTTGTATCAATTAATCTCCGCAAACTTGAAGCTGATTCATGTTTTAGAACAGGCTGTGAAATTAATTTATTTAACGCTGTGTTTGTTATTTCTATTTCGTTTTCATAATGTTCAGTAAGCACTTTCCACGCCTTTTCATAATTCGCATTTGAAATTTGAACTGATTGTAGTAAAACAGATGCTTCACCTTTCACAGAAAGCTTAAGATATTGCAATTTTTGACTGTCACTTCATGTACTTTATTTCTAACACTAGCAAGAAATAAATCCCTAAATGATATCCAATCAACGTAAATAGAACTAAACACTGGCAGTTCTACGCGAGGAAGTTTTAAACCATTTACATGAGCAATCATTATATTTTGACATGGATTAGTAAGTTTTCTTGATTCTTCCTTTAATTTTTAATACATCCAATTTGGAAAACAGTTCATGCATTTCTATTTCATATTTATTAAACTCTGTGTCAGAACAAGTACCAAGAATGTTATTATTTAAACCGTTCACTTCAACACCCAATGCACTAACATCATTTTCATACATTTCAATCACAGAAAAAGACTTTTCTTGATTTTGTAAACTATTTACTTGTGAAATTAAACGAGTCAACTTATCCTTAATAATTCGCTTTTTGCTTTAAAATAGACTCCATGTTTCAGCTGCTATTCTCACAATCCAGACACAAAATAATCCATTTTCTTTGCACGAAATATCCTTCTATTTTAGAACATTCAAAATGTCTTGACAAATGTCCAGCACAATACTCATCCAAAAATATTGCGCTGGCTGTCGACGAACCATGTTTAATGGATGGAAAGTAGCCACACACATTCGTTATTGCATTTATTGGCCGTGAGAAGAACAAGTTGGTACAACAGATATAGTTTGGCACTCGCAGGTGCCCTCTTGCAGTGAACAAAATCAAAATTTACATAAGGCACGAACAATACGTTTCACTTCAAGTGCAATTTTAATTACAATTAAACTTTTAAAAATTCCAGAAACTTCTATAAAATAAACTTGAAAAATTTCTCACATTTTTTAATTTATTAATTTTTTTAAAAAATTCATTTTTACAAGGTATTTAAATTAAATATTTATGAGCTATTTTGGTACCTGAGTATTAGATGGCATCTAACAACAGCAAATCAATCAGCTATCAACAAGCTACTGACACCTTTTCATGCTGAAATACATTTTTGATGTCAGCAGATTGATTACACAGGTAATTATTATTATTATTATTATTATCATTTCTGAACTGTATCCCTGCCAATCGAACTTAGAGCTGCATGAACAGATTATTAATCTCTGCAGCTTATTTCCATCCCTTCATGAACTCTTATTAAATAAGGTGGGTAACATCATTTAAATTAATTTGTAATTCTTATACTTCATCATCATCAGGTGTCAACATTACATTTATACTGACATCTTCTATCATGCACAATTTTACTGAATGAGCATTAGGTAACACTCATGATTTTTTTGGCAAAATACCACATGGCTGGAAATAATGGCCTATTTCTATTTTATTTTTCAGGAAATCATCCAGTCAATGCTCAGTGCAAAACACAATAAAAATTAACATTAGACGAACAAAACTACTGTGGAAACTTTTAGCTGGAAAAGAATTACATCCCTCCCCAAAAAAATATGTGCAATGCAATTCTCAGACTTGCTCTTATGGCTTTGAAAATGATATTGAAATAAATATATAGAGAAGGTATGAACCTCATCCTCTTCCAAAAAACAGCAATAAAAATTTCATTTCATCTTCTCTCCTCCCTTTTTGGAGTTTTTAGAGATTCTGCAAGAGGAATATTAACACTTCATGAGTGGTATTACTGCCAGCATCATCAGCAGGCACAGGCTAATAGGCAGGTACTACTATTTTCAAACTCTTCATTAAGAGCATTTTTAAACATTTAAGTGGAGGTCATTAAAAAAAATCAATTATTGATCACTTTTATGAATACTTTAAAAATATAAAATGAAAACAAATACAAACCAATAACTTTTTCAACCATTTCATAAAACATCTTTTCTTGTAATTCTCTTCTTCTTTTCCAGAAAGTCAAACCATAATATGCTACAACTAATGCAAGTATACCTATTAAATGTACACAATTACAAATTAGAAAATAGGATTACAACTAATAATAACATGATTATCACAGATTAATATTTTAAAATAATATAATGTTAATAAATAAAAAAAAACAGTTACATTAATCTTGAAAAGAATTGTATTTAAAAAATTACACAACTACAGTGAATCCTCTTTAAGACTACAAATACAGATAATTCTGATTGTTTGTCATCTTAGAGAAGAAAATGATCAGCAGCCACAATTTTGGATTTGCATAATGAATTTATTCTATTGTAATATGTTAAAGAGAGTTCCCTAGAAGTGCAGCTATATATCAGTTTATTAATTATGTTATGTTAATAAAATTACAAATTAAGTACAAAAAAAAATGTTAGTAAATGATTTATTTTATAAAACATCAACCAGAAAATTTTGCCTGTAGGGAAAGTGAAAGAAAACAATACATTTTCATACTTTTTTTTTTACCCAGCATGTGGTCTGGCATTATCATGATAAATATGTTTTCTATTGAACATTTGCTGGCCTCTTTATTTTGACTGCTTTGTTAAAATCGTCCATTTGGTAAAGTATTTATCTGAATGGAGCTTTTCCTTAGGTTTCAAAAGCTCGAAATATACTAGTCCTTAGACATGCCTCTATATATATAGCATTCTCTAATTCAGGCTCAAACTTGATTTAAAGGTGGAGGGGCAGGCTGTCTGGGAACCACATTATGCTCCTTTCCTAATAATGTTTTGAAGATAATCATCCATTTTGATCCCCAAATATCGTCTGGTCCAAAAAGGTCTCATTTTTGTTCCGAGCAAGATGTGCATATGATAACTTGATCATGCAATTTTTGCTCATTTAATTCCCGAGGCACCCATCTGGAATACATAAAGACCAATCCTACTTTCCAAATATGGTCCAAAAAAGTTTGCTGAGTTGAAACAAGCTTTTCCTTGCTGAGTTGAAATAAGCTTTTTCTTGTTGAGTTGAAACAAGCTTTTCTACAATTTCCATGTTGTCAAAAAAGGATCTTGCTCTATCATGGTCTCGACAATATTATCAATTGGTCAAAGAGGGCTGCTCAAAGCATGGCTTATCATTAAGGTTGAAATCCCCAACTTCAAATTTTTTAAACCATATTCTACACATTCTATATGAAACTGCAGTGTTGCCATGTAATTTTTGCAAATCTTCTAGTTTTAAAAAACTTATGTGACTAAAATTTTTGTGTTATGTGATTTTGTGAAATTTTTGCTATACCGTCATATCCTTGTGTCCCCTTTTATTTTGCGGCTTTAAAATTTGTTAACATACTATTACAAATTTTGTATCTGAGTAAATAATTTTAGATAAATTATTATTATTATTATTATTATTATTATTATTTTTTTTTTTTTTTGTGTGTGTGTGTGTGTGTGTGTATGTAATGTAATATGAAAATATTCTGTTGGCTAGTTTGGAAAGCTATCACCAAGCTGTCGACGGTTTTGGCAACTAAATTTATTGCCAAATTTCAGACACAAATTTGGCCAGAAATCACCAAACTTGGTGATCACTTGGAGACATTTTGGTCTAGATTTCAAAGCTCTATCTGGCACGTTGGAGCTGCGCTTTGGCAAGAAGTGTTTAAAAGACTAAATCAGCAGGCTTCAGTTATCTTGCCAACAAAAGCTCATGGAAATACTACAGGAGCTCACCACGGATGCTGAAAGCCTGTCTGTATTTTATCGATGGCATCTGGCATCCTGCAATACAGAAAGTCCTCAGAAAGGAAAACATTAAGAATTTAAAAAGCGGCTTAGTGTATGCCATGAAATTTGAGGTAGCCCAGCAAACAACTTGTAGAAATCAATGCCCAATCATAGCTGCTGAAATCCAGAAGATAGTAGATCAAATGACTGCTCATCTAGACCATTTAAAGAGGCAAGACAGTGCCTTTATACATAATAGGAGTGACAAGAAACCAACCCTATAGTGAGGAACAGCAATGCCGAAGGCCACACATGAAGTTACTGCAGAACACCTCAAGACACAGAAAATAATAGCACTCCATAGAAAACATGTAGGAAATAAATTAATGCAATCTTGCGGGATAGGCTGCCAGATAATGAGTCCCATTTTAAAGCACTTCAGATTTCTGCTGTGTGTAGCGGTAGTAATGGAATTTTCCTCATGTGACATATGAATGTATTTCCTTGTAATGTGACGATCGATACTGGAGACAATGTTAGCATCATTTGGAAAGATTTAGCTCAATAGTTGAAAGGTAAACTCATTTGGATGCTACAATGCATTACACTCCAGAATGTGTCTGGTGATAAAATCAAAATTGATGGAAAGTTAAATGTTAACATCATGTTTGGAAGTGCCGCCTAACACCACACGACATATGTGGCAGATATTACAGATTCTTGCATACTCAAGATTGAACTTTCTAAGAAAATATTATTTTTCCTTGGACTTTAAAAATAACGAACTGAATTCTGCCTCTGAGGACATAACTATTCTTCATAAGAAAGGATCATCACATGGAAATAGTGATGCACTGTCTAGAAGACCCTGCCCAGAAAGCAGCTGATTTTGTTCTAGGGTTGAAGCGAAATACAAGCTGCTAAATTTGGTCTCACAACAAGTTAAAACTTCAACATTGTATGATGAAGAGCCAGGAAGTGACGAAGAAGTCAGGAAAGACCAGATGGCAGACGATGACATTAAACCTATAACTGACTTAATGGGGTCTTCAAACAGGAAACCTACCTGCAGGACATTTCGATCTATAGTTCTGTGACAAAACAATACTGAGCTCTCTGGAATTTACTCCATATTCGAAATGGTATTTTGTACCATAAGATTGAATCAGATGATGAACTGGCTTTCAGACGGCTGCTGACACATCTAAAATCTCAGATCCCAGCTTTCCTTAAAGAATTACAAAGCAGTCCAATAGGAGGCCACTTCAGAATAACAAAGACTTTGTACAGGGTTCGAAAGCACTTCTACTGGAGTAATGGAAGGAATGATGTGCAAAAGTGATGCTAACCTTGCAATGTCTGTGCAGGTCAGAAAGGACCTAAGAAATGCAGCTGAAAGAAGCTGCAACATTACAATGTACGAGTTACTTTTGAATGTATCGCCTTCGATATCCTGGGACCGCTGCTAAGAGCTGCTGATGGCAACAAATACATCCTCGTTATCATTGATTACTTCATCAAGTGGGCTGAAGCGTATCATATTCCTGATCAAGAGCTGTCATGACAGCAGATGAAATAATATAGCATTGGATTTCTATGTTCAGAGTATATCTTCCTCTGCAAATGTACTCAGCATAGACAAAACCCAAACGACACATTCACATTCCTTATCAGAAAGCATGGCAGAGAAGCTTAATTAAACTATCCTTAACAATCTCTCGTTGGTGGTTTCCTGAAACCAGCAGGATTGGGACCAGACATTCTCACTGTCCCTATTGGCCTATTGAAGTGCTTTTCACAAGACAATCGGCTATTCTCCATCTGAGGCCTTCTTCAGCCTTGCGATCTCATTTTTGGTCACCCTCTGGATGCGTCTTCATCAAATGAGGAGTATATTAAAGACCTCCAGGCACAGTTTGAAGTGATGCAAAATTTTGCACGAAAGTGAGTCAACTTGGTGACAGAGATGATAAAGACCCAATACAATATGAGAGCTACAGGACATTGATTCAATGACGGTGAAAAGGTGTGGTCCTCCTATTCAACGGAAAAGACTCTCTCCTAAACTACAGTCCCCTTGGGACAGTCTTTACACAGTCCTAAGCAAGCTGAATGACACTGTAGTTCAGATCTGTTAAGTAAATTTTAAACCTAAAGTCATTCATGATGACAGTCTTACTGGATACTATAGCCATAATGTGTAGTCCCCGTGGTGTATATAATGTTAATATTATACTAAGACTATGGTCCTATTGTATATAAATTTTTAAATTCATGCATTAAGTTATTAATTTAGTATTTTATTTGTTTTATGTTATTTACTGAAATTATTGTTTTAGTATTACACTGAATTTCCGTAGTTGTAAGTCCAGGCTGTCCAGGGATTGTATTGTCCAGGATGGGCAGTTCTTGAGAAGGGAACAATGTTACACATTTTGTATCTAAGCAAATAATTTTAGTGAAATTACAGTACTTTTTTTTTTTTTTTTTTTTTGTATAATATAACATGAAAATCTTAAGAGGCGATGCTTTGCCAGAAAAGTAAGAATACATGGGCAAGTCTATTTAATATTGAGTAAAATGCTATCTTGCTAGTTTGTCAAGAAATCGCCAAACTTGGTAATATTTTGGTCTAATCCCTGTATCACCATAATATGTATTGTAATTGAATAACTGTGATTGAGCCTCTATATTAGCTGTAACCACATCCAGCCCTCATATGTTTTCCAGTAATTTCGAGAAGTACTAGAGATTTCTCGGCGGCTTAGGGAAAACTATATAAGACCAGAGAGAGCATCAGTTTCTCAGTTGTTAGTTTGGAGCGACTAAGGAACCTTTTAGATGCCCTTTTCACTGCATTGTGTTCAGCATTCTTTGTAGTCTGAAATGTAATTATTGATTGTACTCTGTGATAATGTGAAGCGCTATATGAGTATTTTTGCAGAAAGTTCCAGAACTGTGAAGTATTTCTTTGGTAAAATAAAATTTATCCAGCTATTATCAATTCTGTGTGCATTCAATCTATCATAAACCTGTATGAATGCAAAAATATTGTAAAATTCTTATATATTAAAATAATGTATCTACTAAAATTAATTTACAATAATAGTAAAAACAAGTAAAAACAATTTAACTAGGCTTAAATTAGAAGTTGGCATCTGGCAGTCCTGAGATCATACAGGTGCAGTTTTCAGCATCAGTTGCTGATGTTTTCATGTGTTTCACTAATTGTTTTGCTTAATCTTTAAAGTTTGCCAATAAGCAATACAACTGCAGAAAGGGTACATTCAAGTGTCACTCTGACCAAAACTAAACATTGAT